ATTATATGTATATTAAATGATATCCATAATTATAATTCTCTTTTTATGGAAACTAATTAAATCCGTCGTTAATGCCACTAATAACATTCTTTCAGAATAAATTTGCATCTAGGTTTTTATATATGAGTTCGTACTTTGTTCAGACTCAATCACTTAAAATACAATAAAGTTGTATGGAATATGAAAAACGAGAGTGTATTCTAGTAGAATACACTCTCATTCTGCTGCAACACATTCTTATTCTTCTATATATGAATTTATTCTGAAAGAATATTATTGTTGATATTAATAACGAATTTAATTAGTTTCCATAAAAATGATTTATAAGTATGGATAACATTTAATATACATATAATTACTACTAAATTCCTATTGGTGCATTTTTGTACACAATAGATGTGAAAAACATTTGAACATACCCTCTCTCTCTTTATATATATATATATATATATATATATATATATATATATATATATATATATATATATATATATATTATATATATATATATATATATATATATATATATATATATATATACTAACTTTAGATTTTGTTCACGGATGCAATGCAATAATAAATTTATTATTTAATTAGTTCCATCACATCGCAAAACACTATATAATACTTTTTAAGATATGCACATATATAACAACCAAGCCACATAACTCCACCCCTCATTAGTCATGTCGTTTTGAAAACATTTCATATAGTGATCACACTAAGCATCCCATGCACATGATATCTTGTATGAACGAACCTTGTGTCACAAAAAACATGCAAATTTCTACAAAAATCGAACTGTTATCTACGGAAAATTTAGTTGATTTGCATATAACATCAAACACAACTCTATTCATTTATCCCTCCACTAGCACCAAACCGAAAGTGGTACTTAATGGGCAAATCTTAAAGCAACAATTTGAATGTGAATTTTTAGTGAACTTCGCACCAATGTCTAAAGGCATCATTATTATGTTATTAATTTATTATAACGCATCCATGCACTTTTGCTTTATAACCAATAAAGCATTTTGTGGTGTAAAGTTTTCCCCCACATGTCATAGCAATACTCGTTTTGAGATGAAACCTCTTTTCATAATCCCATTTTTGTGGATTTCAGCTTCGAAAAGCAAAGCCCATGGCTCTAGCAAGTGGAGTGCACTAGAAGTTAGAATGTTCAAGTAACATGTCGAGGAAAGCAAGTGACCTTTACTCCATTGGCACAACTCTCTACAACTCTTAAATTGTGAGTTACATTCTTTTATTCATCAAGAACAATTTTGATAAGTAATATAATTAATATCACATTTTGGTCATAAACTATCGTCAATTTATTCAAAAATAACAAATATTCGAAGTGCATTCTTGAACATTTTTCTCTCGTTTTGATTATAATATTGTGACTTACAATAGCATGACAAACTTGTTATTTTCATCCACGCACACAAGTTTTGTTTAAATTATGTCCACGTGTCGATGTCCACATATATTTTATTTATTTATTTCAAGTTTTAAGAACATAGTTTTTTTCGAATGACTAAATTTTATAAAAGCCAAAAACTCTAGCAAAAAGTTTGAAGGAAACAAATAGTTTAGTGAATTTTAGAATCAAACAGTCCAAAATTTTCATTTAAAAATTTAAGTGTTTATTCAGTTCATCACTTACGAAAATCTTAGATAAAACCATTTAACTAAATGTTGGTGATTTGTTATCATCAATGTTATTTAAGTGTAATAGGGATTACTTTGTTAACTAAAAATGATCTTGATAAATATTAAACAAGTAAGGAATGTGTGGAGTACACACTTGTTTAAGTTTGATCAGGTATTAAAGTATACTGTCATTTATGGACGAAACCCCTGAACGAACGGGGGCCCGGGGGTAACGCCCCTGGCGGGGTCCAAGGGGCAGTTTTTCAGAAAATCCAAATTTTGAATATTTGACCCGATTTTGACTTTGAATTAATCCTTATACAAAACCCTGATTTATGACAGTTTTTACTGTTGAGAAAAACTGTTATATGACAGTTTTGACAGTTTTTCAGATAAGGAAGGTTTATAACCAATTTTAGTCACTTTTCTGGTACTCACGAAATTACACCATCTCATTCTCTCTGATTTTATCTGAGTCTTATCCAATTGAAGATTTGGGAGTACCACCCAAATACTTCGATTTGAAAGTGATTATCACGATTCTCAGATTTCCAAGTGCCACTAAACCATATTTCTAACACTAAAAACATTTATCGAAGTATCATTAAAAGTTATCATGTGCACAAATCTCCTATGGATGCGATGCAATCGAACCGTACCCTCATTTAATATAAGAAAAACCTGAAAACATTTAAACCACAAACCGTAAGCACAAAGCTTAGTGAGTTTTCCTAAAATACCACATACAACATAACACAAATAAACAACTATGAGTTATCAGCAACCTTAGAGACTACTCGAAGTCTCAGTGGGCAAACAACACGCCATGTGAGTTATCAGCAACCCTGGAGACTACTCGAAGTCTTAGTGGGCAAACAACACGCCCCATGTGTTATCAGCAACACTGAAGACTACCTAAAGTCTCAACACACATAGTAACACATATCACAGTACTAACAAATACGACCCAGATAGTCAACACACACACATACACACACACACACACATATATATATATATATATATATATATATATGTATGTGTGTGTGTGTGTATACTACCACCATGCAAGTAATGTGAGAAGACTCACATCAATCCGTTGATAGATAATCTTGCACACAAAAGTTGCTGGCGTAAGGACTCCTCATACTAAACACATCCAAAACCAAACCCCAATTAACAATTAAGGTAATAATTGTGACAACCCAGAGAATATGTCACTGAACGCCGTTAACATTTAACAATAGGACGTAAGAATAAAATAAAGACAACCTTGTATCGACCCGATATATTTTAATATATTTGAAAATTTCATCATTAATTATGTCAACCTTAAGGCTAAAAAATAAGTGTGCAAAAAGTCACATCACTTTGAGAGCATGTTAGCATACTTAGAATCTTTAAGATACCGTGATTCCAGAAATATAAATTTTGTAAGAATCCGACACAGTATGGGTGAGATATGACATTTATGGTAAATGAATATTTACCACAATTAAAAAGTTACAACGACAAACACTACAAGAGATTGATTGACTTTTGGAGAAAGCCATCAACTAGACAATCGTAGTACTACTTAAAGTATGAATTATAAGACAAGGAATGCCTGAAACGGATGTTATATGTGAGAGTTATGATTTTTATAAGATTATAACGGTAATAAAAACACATCAAAAACGTAAGTCAAAACTACACAAAACGACCAAAAGGAAAGTCGTAGAGAATGACGAGACCTACACGGATATATAAGAGTTATTGAGAACGAAGTTCATATGCGAAAGTTATGAAATTTTGAAGTTGAATTTTTACCATCACGCATGCTCGTGCGCAGTGCCCGCACTAACACCCAATTACGTCGAGATACAGGATGACGTGGCATGCTGAGATGAGGACACATGACACCATCGTACGGTTCACGCATATTTGCGCGATGCGCACTCTAAACTTGCTATAAATATCAGGTATTAGCAACTCATCTGCCTCACACCTCTCATCGATTTCTCTCCATGTCGTTTTGCGTGCTATCACTCGGCCAAGTCTCAAAGTCATAACTTTTTGTTTCTACCTTACACCAACGTTTTCAAAACTCACATGTGAGCTTCACGGCCTTATTTTCCATATCCTTCGGTTGGGGGGGGGGGGGGAGGGGAATACATGTCTAAATTACAACTTTACATAGTTATCACTAATTATAGTTAGATAGTTATGTCCATAACATTAGGATGATATTAGGCCCGATAGATACTCTGCCCAAACTTTTTAGCTAATATTATGCCTTATTGTTATGCTAAACAAGTATGATAGATAAGATCATAACTAGTTGTTATGTTGGTCAATTGCTAGGAAACGCTGAAACTCGTTATTATAGCCATCTTTAGATAAAGCTTAGTACATAGTGTTACTCTGCCCAAATTCTTAGCTACACAAAACACTATATATATATATATATATATATATATATATATATATATATATATATATATATATATCAGATAAATAATATATAATAAGTATATTGTACAAATACAACACGGATAACAACTCGACCGACCAAGTGAGGCCCCCATGTCAAAAGTTAGACGAGACATAATTCATCAGCACGTTGATAGATTTTCGGCTATCGTCCAGCCTATAATCGTTAATTATTAAGTGAGCGAGAGAGATATGTATAGATCTATATGTGATTAACACTCCCACCTATGGTTGGTAGCTACATCCCGATGGCAAGTTGAAGCACATATAACTTTCTAAACACAACAACGTCTGATGAAGCGTCGTGGTATTTTCAAGATCAACAGTCATAGCTCAATTATAGGAACTCATCATAACTTTGTCAAACTAAAACTACATATCATAATATACTACTAGGAGATAATCCAATTAAGTAGTGATAGTACACACAAACTCAAGGAAGCGAGTTTAGGTCAACTAACACCTAACTATCTTAGACTACCACTAGGAAGCTACCTATGGAAGTAGTGGCAGTACTCATAAACTCAAGGAAGTGAGTTAAGGATAAACAAAACAACTAAAATACTCACACACATTTTATAAAAGTAAAACATGTGGACTCACCAACATTATGTTGACCTCTCAAGCCACGTGTATTCTCAGGAGAATAAACCCGTCTGAAGGAGGAGATAACCCTGGTGGCGCAGCCTAGAACCTATGTACTTTGCCCTTTTAACCTACTTGTACCTCGAAAAATTATGTAATATCTTTGACTTAATGAATAAATAGCTATGTTTTTTAGCACATCTTGTGTATTATTCAACACACATATTGGCCTGAAATCCCAACATACTAACGTCACATAGCCTGGTGCTTCCGCCGTCGACCAGGGGATGGATCGTGGAGGTCAGCTTCCTCATCATAGGAGGAGCGTATAGTACTTGATGACTCGGTCAATACCTTGGAGGAAGGTGATGACTCATAGCCCGATTATACACCTGCTGAGTACCCGTCAGAGTCAGTCCTTTCACCTGAATACACGTCGGCTGGGCTAGAGCTTCTTAGTTTCGAGTATGAGCTCGGCGAGGATAAGGAGGACACTGCCACCTCACCAGAGACCTCACCACGCCGGCCCACTCCTTCAAAAAATTCTTACAGGACACCCAAGGGTACTCAGGTGAAGCAGACCCCAAGGAAGGTAGTTGTTACCCCCTCACGGAAAAGGACGATGTCCCCACAAGCATCACCGCCGACAACAAAGAAATCCTGCGGAGACGCCGTTTAGATGGTCCATATATTATCCTCGACTTAGGAAGAGGCTATCAACTTATGGTTCGAGGTAGGGGTGTCATCCACTGCACCTTCCCTACCTCATATACCCCTGTGGATCATTCCATCTCTCTTATGGTGCCTCGCACCACCCATCACTCAAACTGTATTGGAGCGATGGACACTGAGATCTTCTTATTGAGGATGGCCTTGATGCAACTCACAGAGATGGTGTAGTAATTGGAGGAGGAGAGAGACTTGATGGAGATGAGGACCTTACTTGTGCATGATCAGCTTTAGGAGGGACGAGAAGAGGCCTAGTTCCATCACCAAGTGCTAGATGAGGTGATTAGCCACACAGATCATTTAGTGCTCCAGGTGGAGAGGATTGAGTCTCGATTCTATCATTTTGATGTTTGGCTAGGGTTTGTATATAGACAGTTAGTCCTGCTAATGGAACTTCTTATAGTGTAATGTGGTTTTTAGTTTTCTTCTATTTTGGCCCTATCATGGTAGCTAGGAGGGATATAAATACTTTTCTTGTGGGTTAGGGTAGTAGGAAAAGCTTACGTATGTATGTTTTGTAATCACAAAGCTTTTCCTACCTAACCACGCCCTGTTTTGGTAACTTCGATATTATATATATATATATATATATATATATATATATATATATATATATATGATGGGTTTTGAGCACCCTAACACTTCCTAAGTGTACATGCAACCCTAATAACCTTGGATCTATGTTTGTCTAATTATCATGCAAAGTTGAATTCCAAGGTTATATTCCTATCTAGCATACATGGGGAACAATATTTAACTTTAATGGAAGATAGAATAACTTACCTTGTTGTTGCTTGTGATCCTTGAAACCTTGTGAGCCTAGCACCCCAAGTGTGATGCCTTAAATGCTTCACACAACACCAAATGCAAAGGAGTAACCTTTGAGAGAATCTTACACTTTCAAAAATTGGCCTAGTCCTCACTTGTTCATGTGTATAGCCGATTTTGGTGGAGAATGGGTTCCTTATATAGTGTTGACACATCTAGGGTTACACCATGTAAACCCTAATGTGTCATGACTCTTCATTTCCATGACCCATGGGTTTGTAACTCCCATGGAGCATCCATGGAGCATCTTATGGGTGGAACCCAACTTGATAATCCATGGAGCCTCTTAGCCCACTATACAAGTATGGATGATTTACATAATCAACCCATATATTTAATTAGTTATCTTTTGATCACTTAATTAATTCTAAATTAATTCTTGATCAAACTAATTAAATAATATTATTAATATATTAGAACTTATAATATATTAATAAACAACAAGTGTTATTTCTCTCATTTAGTCTATCCAATTGCATGGTGCCAAGCAACCCAAATGGACCATGCCGGGTCGGGTCAAGTACACACTAGAAATAGTTATGGACTTAGACACCTTATCCAACAGTCTCCTACTTGTATAAGTCTAATAACTATAACTACAATTATGACTTCAGGAACTGATCAGCAATCGTAGCTCTTTTAAGGTTTCTCGGGACTGAGCAGATGATGATACGCCATTTAAGATAAGTGATCATATAATCCTCTGTTCGAGATATCAGCCGGACAAATACATGGAACAATGGCTTACTTATTGTCCAACAGTTTGTTTCCCGATTTCCGATTTGTTTGACAAAGAACGTAATTGAAAACATCAACTTAGTTCTGACCGGGCCCGGTACATAGGTCAAACCAAAATCATCTAGGGGCCCAGATATCAGCTTCTAATCCAAGAAGGAATAGATAAACTTCGAATCATATGTTTGTTCTACCACTCATTGAATTATACACAAAAGCACGTTTTATAACATCGAGTTACCAATGCGTTTACGTACAATCAATGCATAACCAACTCGTAAGTAACAAACCATATCTCTAGATTTGAAGACTTATATGATATTACCATCTCACGATCACTCGAGATAAATTCCATGAAGTGATTCTAGTGAGCGTGGGTTGTGTCCAATGCTCAGAACTTACGAGCACTCATGATTGTTGTAGCCATGTCCAATACCTTAGACCTCTGCAACCAATCATGATAGTCTTGATTCATACCTACTTCCGACATATGAACAAATGTGGAGGTTTGAATAATATGATATACCAAACATAATTATTCTGGAAGTCAAAACATGCAAAAGAAATATAGTAAACGATTGACAAGAGATAGCAATACTTTACTCATAAATAAAACACCTTTTATTCATTATCTAATGTCAATTATGCTTTACAAATTTCAAGGTTATCTAACTACTAAATCTATTATCATCCTTCAGCCCTATGCTCCGAGCATGCTGGAGATGCTTAACCCGAGTCAGTCCCTTCGTGAGGGGATCTACTAGATTTTCATCCGATGATACCCTCTTTGCCAATAGGAGTCCTTCTTCTATTCGATGTCTGATGTAATGATATTTTCTGTCGATGTGTCTGGATCTCCCGTGATCCCTTGGTTCCTTGGCTAAGGCAACAACACTATCACTATCACAGAAAATTTCCATTGGCTCCTTAATAGCTGGTACAACTCCAAGGTCTCCAATGAAGTTCTTCAGCCATATCGCCTCCTTTGCTGCCTCGCTAGTTGCTATATACTCTGATTCGCAAGTTGAATCATCCACTATCTCTTGCTTGGAACTCTTCCAAGAAATTGCTCCTCCGTTTAGGGTAAAACTCCAGCCTGACTGAGAGCGTAAATTATCCATATAAGTCTGAAAGCTAGCATCACTATACCCTACAACTCTCAAGTCTTCACTCCCACTGAGGTTAAGAACCCAGTCCTTAGTCCTGCGTAGGTACTTGAGGATATTCTTTACCGCATTCCAGTGTGCCTTGCCAGGGTTCCCCTTATACCTGCTAACCATCCTTAAGGCAAAGGCTACATCAGGTCGAGTACATGTCATAGCATACATGATCGATCCTACAGCCGAAGCATAAGGTATTCGACTCATTTCTGCTATCTCAGCCTCAATACTAGGGCTTTGTGTCCTACTCAATCTGCCGTTACTCTGGATGGGTAACTCTCATTTCTTGGAATCATGCATGTTGAATCTCTTCAGCACCTTATCCAAGTAGGTACTCTTACTAAGTCCAATTAGTCGTTTGCTCTGGTCTCTCAAGATCCTTATCCCTAGAATATAGGCAGCTTCTCCTAGGTCCTTCATAGAGAAACACTTCCCAAGCCAGGACTTAACTTCCTGCAGAGTTGGGATGTCATTTCCTATGAGTAGTATGTCATCGACATACAATACCAAAAAGCTAACTAGACTCCCACTAGCCTTGACATATACACAAGGTTCATCTTCACTCCTAGAAAAGCCAAACTCTTTGAATTTCTCATCAAAGCAAAGATTCCATCTACGAGGTGCTTGCTTTAATCCATAAATGGATTTCTCAAGCTTACACACTCTATTAGGGTACTCTGTATTGACAAAACCCTCTGGCTGACTCATGTAAACATCCTCAGCCAACTTTCCATTAAGGAAAGCGGTTTTGACATCTATTTGCCAAATTTCATAGTCATGAAATGTAGCTATGGCTAACAGAACCCTAATAGACTTAATCTTGGCCACTAGAGAAAAGGGTCTCATCATAACCAACTCCCGAAGTTTGTGAGAAACCCTTTCCAACCAGTCGTTCCTTATAAGTGTGTATATTACCATCCATGTCGGTCTTCTTCTTGAAGATCCATTTTCACTCTACAGTCTTACGACATGGTACATTCTCAACCAAGTTCCAAACTTGATTGTCATACATGGATTGTATCTTGCTGTCCATTGCCTCTTTCCACTTGGCTGACTCAGGGCCTGTCATGGCTTCCACGTAACTGTTAGGTTCATCCAGACCTATCAGTGTCTCATCACTGATAAGTGTATCACCTTCCGCAGTAATATGGAATCCATAGTAGTGCTCAGGTGCATTCCTAACCCTTGTTGAACGCCTCAGAGGTACAAACTTGTCAATTGGATCAACACGAGTTTCCTCCTCAATTTGAGTGCTAGGGTTTGAAGTTCCTTCACCGCTTGACTCTTGAATTTCTTCAAGGTCAACTTGCCTCCCACTGTTTCCTTGGCTTATGAACTCTCTCTCTCCCTCGAAAGAATGCCCTCCTAGCTACAAAGACTACATTTTCACTAGGTCTGTAGAAGAGGTAGCCAAAGGATTGTTATGGGTAGTCGATGAAAATACACCTTTCACTTCAAGTTTCGAGCTTATAATGAGTCTCGCGTCTCACGAAAGCCTCGCAACCCCAAATCTTGATGTGGTCTAGTTTGGGTACTTTACCAGTCCACATCTCATGAGGAGTTTTGGCAACTTTCTTTGTAGGGACCAGACTAAGGATATGGGTGGAAGTCTCTAAGGCATACCCCCAAAATGAGATTGGTAGCGAAGCTCGACTCATCATGGAACGAACCATGTCCAAAAAGCTTCGATTACGCCTCTCAGCCACACCATTCAACTGCGGTGTCCTGGGAGGTGTCAATTGTGAGACAATCCCACATTCCCTAAGATAGTCGAGGAACTCTGAACTAAGATACTCACCACTTCGATCGGATCGAAGCATCTTAATGTTCCTGCCCAATTTATTCTCGACTTCCTGTTTAAACTCTTTAAACCTTTCGAAAGTCTTTGACTTATGCTTGATTAAGTAGACATATCCATATCTACTATAATCATCAGCAAAAGTCAAATAATAATGACTATCATCCCTTGTGGCATGTTTGAAGGGCCCACACACATCCGTGTGTACAAAATCCAACAAACCTTCACCCCTCTCACAAGAACCTGTGAAGGGTGACTTTGTCATTTTTCCAAGTAAGCATTGTTCGCAACTATCATCTGACTTTAGGTCAAATGACTCCAAGACTCCATCCTTTTGGAGTTGTCCTATGCGTTTCTTGCTTATATGTCCAAGACGACAATGCCATAATGATGCTTTATCTAAGTTATTATCATTAACAAACTCAATAC